TAAATATGTAGGAAATTTCCTAGATACGAATAATTATTTTTCAATATCGATAAATAACTGCATAACCCAGGTTCGTAGGGTTTGTTTTCTGAAATGAAAGTGTTGTGTTTCGAAAAATAAATCGAATGCATCAGGAGGTAGTGGTAACAATAATATATTAGTCACCAGTAGACTGCAGATTTTATGCATTTATAATAAAAATTACTAGACGAAATAACAAATAATGAAGATATGAGAAAAATTAAATAACATTCTACCACACTCCTCACTTCATTGATATCACCAAAAAAGTAAATATAATCTCATTTACCTTTTCTGTTCGTTGTAATTAATCTAGACAATATGTATTCTGCACAATGATCCGCAGTCTAGTAATCAGTTTCTGGTTTCATTTATTTCAGTCAAATCGCTCCTTTTATTTATTAGAAATCAAATATATTCACGCGTGTATTTTTGCAGATTTGACATGCACACTACATATGTACGCGGTTCCTCCCTCTTGTTCGTATTACACTACTCGTCTCTCCTGACCAAATTCTACATCACCAATATCCACATCGCCGACTTCTATGCCGCTGACTTTTATGTCACCGACTTCTACAATGCCGAATTTTGAGTCGCCGACGTTTACCTCGCCGATATTCAATATGCCGGTCTTGATGCAGCCGATATGCACTTGGCAGATCGACACTTTGCCGACAGTTACTGCCTCCATTTTCATGTTGCCAGTTTCTAGTTCGCCGATTTTCATGTTCTTAACTTTAATAGTGCCGACTTTTATGCGGCCAAGCTTTATATTGCTAATTTGTACCTTGCCGACTGATAGGTTGCCGAATGCTATGATGGGGATATTCAAATTTATTCCACCTTCTTCGTATGGAGCAATGTCTTCAATGTCGCTCATCTTACTTCAACTATACAGCTGCCGATATTCTAGAGAAAGCAGAAGCACTCAATCCGTGAAATCGACACGCACCGAGATATTACATCGGACATACCTGTTCTTCCTCAAGACGTGCTCTTGATTTGCCCGCTCTATTACTTCTGTTTGCTTTCCTCGCGGATCGTACAGCCCTTGCTCTGTCGAATCGTGGATTTTCAGGGGTTTTTATACACGCGCGTGTATTTGCCGCCTTCGTTAATGTTCACGGTCGCGGTTGACGGCAAGTTCGTGTTCCAACATCTCCGAAATAATCGCGATGTGTACATACAGTAGCCAACGACATTATTCGAACATTAGTGTAACGCGTTGGCTTCAATGCCATATATTTAAATAAATATAATTTAAAGAGGAAACATTTCTTATGGTATATTGAAATAGAGTATATAAATGGCAAATTACGTCCTTAGCGATGCACGATTCCCCATCAAATCGAACGAGGTTGGATTCGAATTATTATTAAATATTCACGACTTCTTGTTTAAACAATGCTTATTGCGTACGTAAAATATGCCGTACATAAATGACAAAGAATTTAATTACACAAATTAACAATGAAATAGTATGCATATATTATCCTATGTAGAGTATATCCATTGTATGTTTCATACACAATACACATTACCAAGATCTGCGAAACGCATTTTTTTAAATTTTCATTATTAGCTCATATAAAAAGTTAGAAACTAATACTCTTTATATTTTCTTGTTATTTCAAGGAATAGCAAAGTGGAAAAAATGTTAGTCAGTATCGCGTCTCTGATATGTCGATCGTTGGCTATTTACAATTGTGTACGTCAAACGTACACAGAAGGAGATACAGCTGTTTAACGGTAAACTACTACAGGCAGCTACATATGTAGGAAATTTCCTAGATACGAATAATTATTTTTCAATATCGATAAATAACTGCATAACCCAGGTTCGTAGGGTTTGTTTTCTGAAATGAAAGTGTTGTGTTTTGAAAAATAAATCGAATGCATCAGGAGATAGTGGTAACAATAATATGTTAGTCACCAGTAGACTGCAGATTTTATGCATTTATAATAAAAATTACTAGACGAAATAGCAAATAATGAAGATATGAGAAAAATTAAATAATATTCTACCACACTCCTCACTTCATTGAAATCACCAACAAAGTAAATATAATCTCATTTACCTTCTGTTCGTTGTAATTAATCTAGACAATTTGTATTCTGCACAATGATCCGCAGTCTAGTAATCAGTTTCTGGTTTCATTTATTTTAGTCAAATTGCTCCTTTTATTTATTAAAAATCAAACATCTCCATTTTTGATGATTCGACATGCACACTACATATGTATGCGCTCCCTTCGTTTTGTTCGGTTTACTCTAGTCGTCTCTCCCTACCGATTTCAACGTCGCCAAAATCTACGTCGCCGATTTCTACGGCCCCAAGTTTTACGTCGCCGATTTCTACCCTGCCAACTGCTACGTCGCTGACCTTTACGTCGTCGATTTTCACTTTGACGGTTTGTAAGTCGCCGACACGCACGTCGCTGACCGACACTTTGCCAACATCTACATCACCAAATTTCAATTCGGCAGTTTCTATGTCTTTCGTTTTCAGGTCGTTGATTTTCACATTGCCGATTTTTACACGGCCAAATTTTACGTCGCCGATTTCTACTCGGCCGATTGATAGGTCGCCGAGTTCTATGCTGACGGTATTCATTCTTCGTATAATTCCCGTGTATGGCTCAGCGTATTCCATATTGCTGATTTCACGTCAACTGTGCAGCTGCCGATATTCTGTAGAAAACAGAACCACTCAGTCCGTGAGGTCGACACGCAGCAAGATATTACATCGGACATACCCGTTCTTCCTCAAGTCGTGGTCTTGATTCGCCCGCTCTATTACTTCTGTTTGCCTTCCTCGCGGATCGCACAGCCCTCGCTCTGTCGAATCGTGGATTTTCGGGGTTTTTATATACTTGCGTGTTTTGCCTCATTCGTTATGTTCACGGTCGCGGTCGATGGCAATTTCGTGTTCTAACACCTCCGAAATAGTCGCGATGTGTACACACAGTAACTAACGGCAGTATTCAAACACTATTGTAACGTTGTCTATAAAATTTTTATTTATTTATTAAATTATTATTTATTCATGATCGATGTCATTTTATAGCTTTATTTTACGTGATTTTATGATTTGTTTATAGTACGTATTTTTTTGTTGCAACTCGTATGACTGAATCCACTTTATGGGGATGGACTATAGTGATAGATGGACTAGATGGACTTAGTCATGTCTAGGGACACGGGTAAATATAATTTGCTATCTTAATTTGTTAATACATCTGAAGAAATTCGTAAAATCGGTATGCATTTTTGGCTCATTTAACCGCTAATATTGATCTAACATAGGAAAAATCAACGAGATATGCATTACAATTTTATAACTTTCTTCAGATGCATTAACAAATTAAGATAACAAATTATATTACATATTTTATAAGGCGTTTGAATACTTATGTGGTTTGAAAATTTGATGTTATATTTTTTTAATTATGAAGATAACATTTCATTTTGTCATTTATACCGTGAAGGTATATATTTCTTTAATTTCTTATATTTCTTTCCTTCCAATGTATATTTCTTTAATTATATAGCATATAAAAGTCAGTTATACTAGCAGTTATACTCACTGTATGTATATGCAATTTGATGTTGCAACAATTTTTATATTTACATATATCGTAGTATTTGTGGCGCTTAGAATCTCGTTTTCTTTTTAATTAATTCGTTACTACTGCTTCTGGTCAAATACTTATTTGCCAGAGATAGTACAACGTATATAGTAAATACGTATAAATTTTCTACACTTTCAAACATGATCGCAAAAGTTGTGGTCGGTACTTCCCTTATTTTCGTGGGAATATACGAAAAGCTCCATTCATGAATAGTGTTAGATTAGGATTTCAAAATTTGCTATTAATCAATTAGCCGTTGCAATCTCTTTGAAAAGTGTAAAAAGTACTGTAGTTATACTGTATATGTTTGATTTTCTTCATGGTTCGAATTCAACACATTTATCAAATATATAATTTAATAAAGAAAATCAAAGTATAATATCCTTCTTAACCAGTTAGCTTCTTTGACGTGTGTACTGGTAAAAAAAATCTGACTGGTTAAACGGAGGAAGTCCAAATTGCTTATATTTTATTAGGTAAATACCATACAGATTTTGTTATTCATATTGATATCTGTGCGGATATAGTCGGTGTAGAAAGTATTCGTATACCTTTTAGAACGGAACAACATTTTTACAATTGGGTTAAGCGATTTAGATTTTTTTGGATGTTACGTGGATTAGTTTTCTAGACGATGGCTAAGAAACTGTAACTTGCTGGCATGATAAAAGATCCTTGTACGTTCCTTGTACGTTCTAGAGATTCATAGCTGACAATAGCATTTGCGAATGCTCGTACGTTGCAGACTGTTTCCTTCGTCTTTCGAATTTTCATCAAAGCATGGTCCGCTTTTATGGCTCAATGTCGAGGCCTCTAGGTTCTCTGGTTTGTTTTCGATTTTCTAAATTCTGAATCTTTCAGATTCTCGTAGAGAAGAGGTATCGAGGACCTCCGAGTTCAGCTTACGGTCCTGACATCTTGGTCGCGCATTCTCTGCGCGCATACTCGGCGCGGTACATGAAACGCGTTCCAATCTGTACTAGCTGGTAGAACGTCTCAGGGAGTCAAGGAGAGCACTCGCGAGTCAAGCAGGGCCCAAATTTGTTAATAGAAAACTAAGGAACAGTTCGGTTCTGAGCACACACGTTCCAGCTGCCGAAGGACGTTCGTAATCTAAAAATTTTCAAACTTCACGATCTACAGTGAGTAACGCTAATATTCGGACACCTTTTCAAACACGATTACTTTTCTAAATTGGATCAAGTTAGTTGAATTTTTCTTTGAAGATGTTAAACTTAGCCGTTCACTAAACGAAGAGTAAAAATATTCATGCAAAAATTGCAATTGGTTGGGCTGACGGAAAAAAACGTATTTGTAACTTGTATGCATGCTGAAAATGTCAACGAAATCAGCTATCGTTGTTATGAAATACAAACAACTTGAGATTTAGAAAATTGGAGCTCTTCACGATTTTCGATCAGTTTAACAGTTTCTACCAATAACTGTAAGAAACCTGAAGATATTTATTATTTTTAATGCCCGCAGCTCATAAGGACGTTAACCTTTTTTGATGACGTTTTCAGTAAACATGTACGTTGCCGATATCTACAAAACGTATTGTTTTACCCTTGCACTATGAGAACGTGTCAGACTTGTGATGAAGATTTCATATTACATATAATCTATTATACATATACGAATGTTATTAATTTCGTCTAGATGGATACAAAATTTGGTTTTTCTGTTACCAAAATCAAGGTATGGAAGTAAATAGATCTCTTAGAAACAAAAATTGTCTCGAAACAAAGACTGATACCGGCATTTTTCAATTGTACCTTCATTAATCCTTTACACATAAAAATCAAAATACCGGTATGATGTTTTACCTAGGGTAAGTGTATCAATTACTATGCCCTTAAAATAATTTCACTTATATTAAAAATAGAGTTTATATTAAATAAAATTTCATGTGTTTTTGCTTTGAACTTATCAAAACATTTAAAAAACACTTTGTAAATAAAGATGAAAGAAATATATAAATGATACTTTTCAAAACATAAGAATCAATTATTCTATTTATAAAAGAGTTGTCTGAATTACAGAAAAGTAATCAACTTCTTAGATATATTTTTTTATTTAAAATAATTCAGTAACAGAATCAAATTTTTTCTACTTTACTGTATACTCTAACTGTATTAAATTTTTATGTCTTTTTCGATACGTGCGTCGATTACTGAGCAAACTCGCATGGCAAACATCGCGTTACATCTAACCTTACTTTCTTCGCCCGTGAAATGTGTGTAGTCTTTCCGTTTTTGAATATCGTAAGTATTGATACATATATAATAAATTATGCTAAATAATTAATTAAAATAATTAATTTTTAGGATTATTTCCTTAGAACTGATCACATTAATTGACGCACAGTAATTAGATCAGTGTACAAAATTTGACACACAGAAACTATCTTTTCATCTCTTGAGGGCACAGTAACTGGTTCACAAATAGTTTTGTCAATTTTGTTAACTATTTTGTGTTCTTCACATACATTAATTATGAAAAAAATCGTATTTATATAAAAGACATCAACATATAATTGAAATGTTTTGAAAAGTGGAATATAGGTAAAAATAATTATTTAATTTGTTGAAAACTTCGGGCGTCATTTTAATGGGCACAGTACGTAATTAACACACTTACCCTATACATATTTAGAGACTCGTTCAGGTAAAATAAAAGAAGATCGTGGAAGCGCCGCGATCATCAGTCGCGTTGTTACAGCACAATCGATTATTGTATCATTGTAACGAAACCTGAGGCTCGTACCGGTATTATACCAGTAAATATTTTGGTATTTTTACGTCAGGACATTATAGAATCTCATACCGGTATAATACCTACGATGACTGATATTCGCTCAAGTTTTAAAACTTTTTTAAAACTGGACTAAATGATTTGATTTTTTTAGATGATTTCTTGCTTGAACCTTTTTGAAAATACATTTTACTTAATGAACATTTTGCGTGAACTGACCAAGATGAAATCGGAATTTGTGATACATAAATAGCAATAACAAAATTTTGTAAGCATCTATGGTATACATTCATTTATAACGTTTCAAATATAGATTATGCACCGTTCAAGAATTAAAAGTTGTAAACGATACTGCCTAATGTGACGTTAACTTCGGCAAGAATATAATGAAAAATTAACAAAAACTGAGGAGGAGATTATATTACAAATTGTTGTCGAAAATAGAAAACAGTTTCACAACATAAAAAAACAAACATTATCCAAAAATATATCAAATATTTTAACGAGCTTTTTGAAGAGATATTTCTTTTCGGCTCTAGAACAGTATTTTTGTATATATCTACATACATAAATATCTATATTATTTTTAAGTGTGTGGAATAATGTCTTAAACGAAAGTTGTACTGTTCGACTAAATTAATATAATGGCAAGGAAAACATATTTTTTATTGTCAGTTTTCGAAACTTTAAGCTCATATTTCTTTCTTTTACTTTATTTTCGGATTTTCCTTCCGTATCATTATAAAACATGGAAAGACAAATTCAACGTTGTATAAACATGCACTATATCTGCGATGCACTATAATTGAGAAAATTAAGTTCCAAAAATATATTTTTTTTCCACAGATTATTGTTCTCATCAGTACTACAATCATAGGGGGTGTCCTGAAAAAATTCGATGGTAAAATTCCCTGTTCGTAAACGTAAGCTACACACAGTGGTGTGAATAACTTATTGACTTAAAGTAACTTTTACAGTTTTAATGACATTTAAACGAATACTTAAAAATATTGTTTGTATTGTAAATATATTGTATATTTCTATATTATAAATAATAGAAAATAAAAATATATTAACATAATTTTGCTTTTTATTTAAATATCAGTAAAAATGTAAGAGTCATTTTAGTCTATTATTATGCACATCATTGCATATGTGAAAGAATAAAGTCCCCACGGTAGAGTCCAATGTGTTTCGCGATATTGAATGTCAGCGCGTGTCAATGTGAAATATATACTCGCATATGAAATATATTCTTGGATGATACGAATTATCGAAATAACCCACGGTTACGGTTAGCAAACGTAGAATGTTCGTTGTGTGGTAAGGTTGTTCCGAGCAATGGTAACAAGCATAGAAATATTCCTTGTCCACTATTTCTGTACATAGAATACTTGACACAGTCTGCATTCCCGTTGGCGACAGTTACCATACCGAGAAAATGTTCGTCAAATCACGCGCAAAACGCACTACGAAAAAGGTACTGCATCAAGCAAAAAGAAATTGTAAACAATAAGAGAGCCGAAAGCATTTTTAATGCAAAGGTACAGAATTAACCTTCATCCTTCACGAATTGAAACTATCGTATGAAATCAATATAATAAGAGGCAGACAATTTTTGTAACGAAATATTTCATTGGATATAAGGAGAAACATGATTGCACAATGTTCTCTTTACATTTTTTACATAGGATGAAACGATGTGCCGACAAACTGATTCTTTAGTGTTTTCGCTCTGTCCTTTCCTGTTATTGTCAATCTGAGATATATAGCAAAACGACTACTGTATTTATTCCGTCCTTTACTGTTGCTCATCGTTCAAGTTCATCGCCCGCATCCGCTCGAAATTCTTCCGAAGTATTAGGATTTGAGCTCCCTATAGTTTATATATATAGGTAATTTTTCAATGAAAAAAGAAAGTTTTCTCCTGCTCGTGAAATTCATGCGTCAAATTGATACGCAACACCTACTTCGTGACAAATATTACTACATATTTGCGTTATACATTTTTTTATTGGTAATAATAAAGGCTATATTTCATGTTAAAAAAAAAATAAAATTTATGATGTCTGAAATCAATTATCCTATAAGTAGCAGAATAATAATAATACTCTGAAACTGGAAAATAGCGTCAAATTGGCCCTAGGCACGAATGAGAGTTAAACACAGTCCCATTTGAACGGTCTAGAAGAATGTGAAATTGAAATTGTTTGTCATGAATTATCTGTCTGGAGTCTAGAAGGGGTTTTCTTATTCGAGAAACATATTTATTTGGAGATATCAATCTACTCGTAATCTGGAACGGAGTTGACAGATCGAACTCACATGAGCCACGAGACAAAGAAATTAGCCAATAAGTCAGTGAAACTTTACGAATCGGTATTGACTAGGAGTGTACAAACCCGCTCGAGTCTCGGGAACTCGAAGTTCGGGACGGGTCGGATAGAGTCGGACAAGATCGGGCGGGATCCCGATACATTTCACTGTTCGAGAACTCGAAATCCTGAGTGTTTCGGGTTCCGAAAGTTTCGGGACTGCACTCGGTTCTCGGGTGGTCTCGGGCAGTCTCGGTCTTTATGCATAAATATTGTTATATATTCTATTTATGCATAGAGAACGAGACTGCCCGAGACCGTCCGAGAACCGAGCGCAATTCCGAAACACTCGAGATCTCGTGAAATGTATCGGGATCCCGCCTGATCTCGATCGAATTTATTCGTTCCGTCCCGATCCCGTAATATAGGGGACCCGTACACGCCTGGTATTGACCATAAGTCAAGGTGTAGCGGTAGCGTCGCAAGACGAAAGGACGCTCCTTTACCGACCCGATTATCGATTCGCCCAAGAGAGAAGAGGGGGAAATAGATTCGATTGATGTCTAGAGTCGATCGAGAACTACGACGCGTGTCTGATTGCAGCCACGTGTAGCGAGAGGTACAAAGACTGGCCAATGCCTATAAATAGCATTTTAATAAATAAGTCTTAAAACCGGCAATCATTTTATGTGTTTTTTGTTGTAAAATTCCACAAATGTAAGTCGAGTAAATTGAACGTTCGCGAGAAAATCCCGGTATTACTTACATAGTTTGCATGCCTACATAATATTATGTCTTACCGAATATCGAAAATCAGTCTTGATCGTTGTTTCAATAAATATTAATTTTTTAATTAAAATTTTTAAGTCGTATGCCATCCGTAATCGGTAGAAAATGATTGAAAGGAAAGACATATTAATTCTTGCGATATCTAAATTTTTATAATCCAATAATTAATTCAACGATGTTTTCCACGTTGATATTTTGCTCGACGAGGTTGTAGAATAATTAAGAACCGAGGCGAGGCGTCTGACCTATCGAACTGACACGTCGTTCGCCTTCTATCAGTTAAATCCTACTTGACCACGGCTACTAATGCATACATACAACAACACTAGCCCCAAAGATACTAGCCGTTGTCGCGTACTTCTTTTCATTGTACAGCTATATTTCAAAAATAATGTTTTTGGAATACTCGTTGAAAGTGTTAAATAACAATCTACAAAATTTATGAATAAAAATAGACGAAGACGCGCGTGAAATAAAAATTATCTCGTTTTATTCAGAACATTATTAAGCTAATCGAAGTAATTGTAAACGAAATCCTAGTAGAAAGGGATTAACAATACTTTATGAGAAGATGAATCACGTGTGTTGTTCACATCCTTGCGATTCTTAATTATTTTACAACCCTTTGTGAAATAAATATCATTGCGTAGAACGTTGTTGAAATTTTTAAATGAATTACAATACACAATGTTGTATTTATAAGAACACTGTCATTTTCGCAGGAACAGTACTTTTAATACTTCCGGTCCCCTCTAACAAGATATTCGAGCGAGTCGAGTTAAAACGGACACACTATATATGCACGGTCGTTCCGAGTTACGAGTTCCTCACCGATACGGTACCAACACGGACACTGGTTCGAGCTCAAGAACCTCCCCGACGTACTGTTGCTAGTTGGTTGGTTTCAGATTACATTTGGATTCTCGTTATAGATTACGGAATAATAGAAACCTAGCGAATACTGAAAAAAATTATGCATATTTTATAAATTTGATTATGCAATTATGCATCGAGTGTTTATTACATACATTGGAGCGGTGTTGTAAAAAATATGTACGTACTCCCATTTTAGTTATGAAGGAGTGTATCACGCGGTGTTGGTATTCTCTTTGTATCTGTTACGACGAGGAAAATCTCAAAAGCAATTGAATTTCAAATGAATTTAAGATGGACTGAACCATGTGCTATTTGATTATTCTACAGTGTTCGTAAAAATTTACACTGGCTGATTTTGAATCGCACAGACTCGACTATAATAATATGTACGTGCATATCTTTGGAGATTGAAGCATAATACAATCATTCCGAGCTTATCATAAAGAGGATATCATAATTATTATAACATGAAAATACGCAAGACAGTAAACATTTAGTAATCAAACACAAGCAACATAATATAATTTCAAAAAATTTGACCCCGATAAGGTGGTAATTAATCCCTTGAATTTCTTCGATTATAATAATTTTTTTAGAAGAAAAAGAAAATTTATATTCATTGCGTTCTTACATTTTCTCGAATTCTTGAATATTGATGAGAAATGAACGCGGAATTAAAAGGACGGAATAACATCCATACTTAACAGGTTGTTACTAGAAATCTCTATCACAGGACAGACTCGTTAAAGTACTTTTATTGAAGCTGGTAAAATAGTCAGAAACCGTGCACCGAAACACAATACGACGCACTGTCGTGTTCCTTTAATCTCCTACATTGCATACAGTAACGTGTGGAACTCGTAACGAAGACTCCATATGTAATCAATTAAATATATGAACGTTATTCATTTTTTTTTCTATATCGAAAGAAAATGTCATGCGGGAAACCAAAATTGTCTCGTTCTATAAGGGAACGTTCTATAAGGACGAAGAAGTATTAAATCAACGTAGATGAGAAAGAATATGTACGTGCAAGTCAGTACAAGGACTTAAGTCTATACATATAGCCTTGCGTGTAAGTGATATTATTGCAATATTTTTTTCACAACACCACTTCTTTAGAAAGTATTTTATTCTTTTGAGATCGAACAGACATTCGTGTACAAGTATTTTTTCGTGATCAATTTTGTTTCTAGTTCTTCGAAACACATTCTTCCTTTTATTCTTATAGAACTTTGATTTTGCCGAGTTAGGCGAGATATTTTAATCGCACAACCGATAAGAGATAAAAACTACGAAATAAAATTTTATTCGATACCATCGACTGAATATTCAATCGAATAAAAATTTATCCGAGTAAGACTTTATTTGAATAAGAATTTATTCGTACAGGAATTCGTACGAAAAATAATCGATTTGAATAAAAATGATAAAGTGCTTTTTTTATAGCTTGTCGATTTGTTTATTCCATATTCCTTTCTTTGAATGTTGGCATCAAAAATTTTGTTATTTTTTGGTGATTTGACCATTGATGCATAACGCATAAAGATTATTTGATCTTTCTACGGATGCACGGGAACGCATTGGCAATTTTATAAAACCACAAGTAGTTGAAATTGAACAGTTCCTCAATGTATTCGTATAAGTATATTCTTATAAAATTACTTGAACAATTATTCGAATAACTTATTCGAACAAGCGGATAGAATAATTTATGATGAATAATGAATAATCATTATTTGGATAAAATATTCAACCAAAGTGAATTCATTCGGATAATTATCTTAGATAAATATTTGTTCGAAACAATGGTTTACTATTGGTTTACCCAACTCTGGTTTGCCATCTAACATCTAAATGCATTG